TGAGAGGACTACCAAACCCAGGAAGATAAAATAAGTGTTTGAGATTTAATCCTAGCCTTGAATGCATACGAAACCTGTTCCCCATTCCATCAGTGCTACTTCCTCACATGTATGTACAGTGTGAGTACAAGCTGTCGCTTGTTCTAAAGGAACAGACACACACATGGGGAAAAAGTACCTCAGGGTGTGGATTGCCACTGTTGAGCTTTTTCCTTGCCAGCGAGGCTTGGCCTGATATCCTGCTCTTCTGCTGGTTACCCACCTCACCCCGCAGCTCCCCTCAGACTTACTCACTGGCCTCATGTACACAACTTCAAGCCATGCAGCCCCTTTTCTTTCTGTAATTCTTCTTCTACATCATTTTTTCCTCAAAGTGTAACTTCTAGGTATAGCAGCAGTGGAACACAAATCTTAAAAGAAAGTGCAATATTGTCCTGCAGTAAAATTATGAAAATAGTCACAATTTAAGCCTTTCAAACTTGGCGCTCTCTTTACTTCTTCACATCTGGTATTACATAGTAGATTTTGGCGAAACCCTTTTTATGAACCCACTATTCTGCTTCCTACACAAACACAAACTTTGAATTATACCTTCCCTTCCCCTCCCAAGATTTTAAATATCCCATTGTTAAAATAAAGAAACAAATAAGTTACTCATTACTGCAAGACCAATAGCCCATCTGTTTATTCCAGTCAATGTATTAAACAAAGTGTTAAACAGTATTTAGCCGTATCTAATGCTGAAAGCCACAACATTCACACCCTAAACACTTGACCTCCAAGCACAAAGGAAAGAAGCAGAAAGTATAAAGTATGCAACTAAAGCAGCGTGGTATCTTCTAATTTTGCTGTGCAGAAAAGAAGGTACCCTTTCTAGAAGTTATACACCATCAACTTATACAGCGAGTGCTAAAAGAACACAACAAACAATCACATTATATAAATCACCTCCATCTAAAATGCTGAATGTATTGCAATATTATAATAATAGCCCTTATCCCACAACAAAATTTCTTAGGCACAGTCTTACCATCAAGAAATTCACAAGGCTCACTTTAATGAAAACTATACCTGAGAACATAATGTGGCCCTTAATCCAAGGATATAATTTAGCCCTTAAATACACAACTGAGAAAAATATCATTAAGCTCAGTGCTTATATTTCCTTCATGTTCCTGCACTGCTAATTTAAATTGTCCCAGAATTAGGCATGGGCATAGCTGCTGACCACATTTAGCCTAACTGGCGTACTACAATCAGACCACAGATCTCCCTACCTCAGCACAACATGTCAACAGTGGAAGGTGAGGGGAGCATACAAGAACAAAGCTAGTATGTAGCAATACCTCCCCAGAATGCTGGGGCTTAAAGCCAGGTAGTGTCCTTGAATTTGGAAGAAGAAGAAGAAAATACAGATCTGACAATGCAGCTCCTTCTGGATGAACACCTCTTTCTGCAGAAAAACTGAATGAGTATGTACAAAGCATATGAATTTTGATACAAAGTTTCATTTCTAACTATTTAAAAACCAGCCTGTAATTGCAGTTTCTGTGCACTGAACTGTTTATCTGTATATGTTTTCAGTGACGTTCATGATGTTGGCTTTAAAAATACACCTTGTGATTACATTAAAGGTTTACAGTATTGTATCATTAAAAAATTAAAGGGATCCAAAGAGCACTTACCTAATTTGGGTGTCATGTATTGCATACAAATTATATCCTTTCTTGGTTAAGCCTTAAAAAGCACACTCTGCGAATCACGTTAAGCCATACTGTTGACAGGTGAAGGCCCATTTCATAATAGTAGAACTGAGCTTGGTTGGACACTGTTACTTATTTACGAAGGTACCCAAGGCTGTCGTACATTCTCATGGAGTACAGCAAGAGTCACCTGAAAATTCTAGACCTTTTAGATTTGCCTCTCTTAATTCATCATATATTTAAAAAACCCCTAGCATCACCACCAAGCAAACCTTGCTGTGTACGAACCGTGCTGCTTCTGCCTCTCTATGCAGCTACAACACACTGAATCTACCATCCAAACAGCATATTGGCTAATCTTTCTTTCTTTAGACAGAAGAAAGAGAAGGTTGAAGGGAGAGAAAAGCAGAAGAAATGGGGTAACATGTACTGATAAACATATCAATAAACAGCAGCTTGAACTCTGGAGCTAGCAAACCACAGAGCGTGAGTTTCGTACAAGTCTGACTGACCTACAATAGAAATCATTTGGGTTTTTTTTCTCCTCTCTGCGTGACCTTTGGATGGGGGCGGGGGGAGTAAATAAAGGCTATCAAGATCTCTGTTTACCTGGATAAGAGTTTAAGAATAGCAAACATCTACCACACTCAAGTTTCTACAATCACACCATGTCCTGGAAAAAAATATGCCTTATTTTTTTGCCCATTTCCCACAGAGAGATGTAAATCTCAAGTAAAAAGTTTCAATACAAATGGAATGAGTTGCAATAATTTCGTTTTCTATTTTGTCTAATGCATCCATTCAAGAATACATTTACTATATCTTCAGGGCTTTCTAGTTTTCCTGTTTAAAAACAGTAGTTTCATGCCTAGAGCTCTGTGTACTGAGATAAAGAGATCAAGGCACCTACACCAAAACCTACTGTGCATCATGTGAATCATATTTTTTCTTGGTCTATTATCATATTTGCCATTCAGACATATATATTGGTACCAACCTACTGTAAGGTGAAAATTTGAGCTGACCGTAGAGATAAAGGTGTAGGTGAAGACACATTCAGATAGAAGTCATTTAATCAAATTCCTATTGTAGCCAGTTCTAAATTTTTCCACTGTTTAAAGGAACACAATGCTACTGTCTTTTAATAATAATAAAAAAAAATAAACACAGCATGCAGAAGATTTAGCCTGAAAGAAAGAAAAAGGGGGAGGGCATGATGAAGAGGTGAGAAACATAGATATACAAACTGTAGGTACGGTTTTTACCCATGGCTTTCTGTCTTCAATTACAGCAAGCAAAACAGTTCCAGTCACCAAAAGGAAAAGGCCAAATATGAGCATACAAGTTGCAGGGAGTTGGTTGAGTAATTCAAGGTTGAGATGAGCAACTACCTGCATCTCAGAGTACTTAGGCATCTTCTTCCCTATCGGAGGTGGAATATGATGCTTCTGTAAGGCCTCCATGTTTCATTCAAAACATGCTGTTTTATCCAAGACCAGGGCTGAAGCTGACCCGTCCCTTTGAGTGACTGGGGCTAAAGCCCGCTCACACAAGCACCTCAAATCGCACAGATGAAGACTAGCAGCAAAGAAATGATGATTAGCAGCTGGGGAAAGTTAGGAGTGTAACATCTTCCCTGGTATGTCTGCAGTCAGAAAGGGGACTATTTCTAACTTGCCTGTAGCACCAGAGTACAAATGTAAATTAAGTATTAAAGTAAGCTTGTTGGAAAAAACAAACAAAAAAACCCAACAAAACATTGCACAGTGATATTTCCCATGTTAAAGCATCAGAAGAAAAAGGTATTTCTTACAACAAAAGTCTTACTTTGTGGATGTGCGAAGTAAACTTGATTAGGTAATATTTCAAGGTAGCAGTGCTACCAATAAATACAGCCTGCTCCAAATAATGACCCAAGTATCAAACCTTTGTGACACTCCATGTTTTATGTGATCCTGTATAGTCTTGAAAATCAAATGTTGAGGGGATAAAAAGCAGTGATTAGCACACCGTCAATACAACTGTAGCCAGAAATGCTGTGGCAGACTCTTACCAAGAGTAACCCAGGCTTTTATGCTGAGTTTATGAACTCTGTGCTGTGTTGCCAATACACAAGTTCTAAGCAATCATTTGAAAAAGTAACACAGAGTTAATGAAATGGAACTCTTTTGTACTTAAAAGGAGGGGCACATATGAAATTTCTTTCACAAGAACTGCCCAGTTACAAACCTACTGTTCCTCTTGCAAGGCAGAGTCCTGCACTTGCTTAGGTCTCTCGCATTCCCCTCACTAGCCTACTGATTTATTTTCCATTCTATACCTCAGTGTTTCCTATCTCTGTACAATTAAGTCCAGAAATTGTTAACTTTCTCATTCTGCCAAGCAGAATCTAGTATTCCTAAAAAAACAAACACAGAAAGTAAACAAAGGATACGTTACAGTAAAAGGTGTATCAAAGAAATGGGCGAAAGGGA